CTTTTCCTGAAAATGGTCAGGTAAGAGATGGTGGAAAAAAAAAGGCAGGGGGCGAGATGTGGCATGCTAGGTCGGGAGGAGGAGGGGAGGAGGCAGGTGAGGCGGGAGAGGAGGAGGAGGAGGAGGAGGAGGAGGAGGGGGAGGCGGAGGAGGAGGGAGGAGGAGAGGAGGAGGAGGGGGCGGAGAGGCGGAGGAGGACGGGAGGAGGAGGAGGAGGAGGAGGAGGAGGAGGAGGAGGAGGAGGAGGGAGGAGGGGAGGAGGAGGATGAGGCGGAGGAAGGAGGAGGAGGCGGGAGGAGGAAGAGAGGAGGAGGAGGAAGGTGGAGCGAGTACGGAGGAGGGAGGAGGGAGGAGGATGATGCGGCGGCCTGATGCGGAGGTAGGAGTAGTATCTCGGAGGAGGCTTCGCCTGCTTTATTCTCTTCTATTCGGCTTTTTCGTCTTGCTTCGTATTCTGAGTATTAGTCATGCAGTCATTCCTTCTTCTTCGTCTTCTTATGTTAGGCTTCTTCTTCTTCTTCTTCTTCTTCTTCTTCTTCCTCCACCACCACCACCACCACCACCAAATGGCTTCTGACAGCTTAGCCCAAACTTTGATGAAGGGCTTAGGTGGAATAATGGAACGCATAGAAATACTGTAATCATATGCAGAAGTGTAGCTCTCTCTGATGTTGTGGCAGACTGCTACCACACACACACAGGCTCTCCATCACTCTTCCACGTTCACCTATGTGAAAGTAGAAGAGTTTGTCCCTGATTGTCTGTGAGTCCACAGTTTAACAAATGACCAAAACACCAAAACCTTTACATATTCCCTCCTCCTGTCTTCTCCTTTTTCTCTTATGTTTCTCTTGCCTCCATCTCTATTTTCCCATGTTACTTGTTTTTGTCCTTATTCCGTTCTCTCTCTGTCTCCATCTGAATTCCCTACTGCTGGGGACAGGTGCAGTATTGGTAATTGGGATGGCCACTGTGTGTAATGATCAATCAGTGGAAAACCACTGAATGTGATGGGTTCAAAGACTAAGGAAATTGTTTGTAATCACAGCCACCATCCATAGCCCCCCTTTATAACCATCACCCTGTCAGTATCACATGACCCATGATGAATGGCCACTGCCTGCTGGTTAGGCATCAGAGGCACATCTGTATAAGAGATTAGGAGCTCACCTTTTATAAGGCAGCCTTACAGATAGGGTCTGTGCCTATAAGGCAGCATTGCAGATAGGGTCTGTGACTGTGCCCGCTGTGTTTTATAGGACAGTGATAAAATGAAGGGGAGATGGGCTGTGCAACATTTACTGTATCTGCTAAATGGAAGATGCTGTAACAAAGATAACATGTAGGGGTTCATTTTATAAGCACAGGTAACCTTGGAGCGGAGCATAGGGGTTAAAGAAAGGAGAGGACAGAAACCTGGAAGAGAACAGAGAAGATCATTACTAGAAGATGCTTTGGTGTCTCTCTTTGTCATTCATTCCCTCGTTCTCGCTCTTTCTCTCTTTATTTCCTTTCTCTAACTCTATCCTCCTACTTCCTACCTCTCTTTTAGATATGCTCATGTAGATACTTACACACAGACAGTGGAAAATGGGCCAACCTGTCCCACATGGGTCGTCTTTCTGGGGAAAATCACTTGAAAACTATTAATAAAAATTGAAGCTATTCTCGGATTAGATTCCTAAGTGTCCTGTTAAAACATTACACTGACTGCTCAGATTTTTTTCCCCCTCCTCTGGGTCATTCAGATCAGTGTTTTTCATATGTAGCCTAAGTAGAAACAGACCGCATTATCAGTAGGATACCTGCTGAGACAGCTTCATTCTCTGTATTCGTTCCAAGACAAGTGCACTAGTCAACGTGCAATGATTGAAACTGTTTTCGAATAATATATTACACTTCAGGCAAGATGTCATCACATCTGTGTGGAAAACCTGGCCCCCTACCCTATCCATGTCATAAGAGACAGGTATGACATCTACATGTACCCTTTGGTGCGTGCTCTAAGGTGTAATAAGGTACAGTATATTATTTCGAAGTGATTCATCATGCTGATTCATGCGCTGTTCAGTGCACACAGAGAGAGAGAGAGAGAGAGAGAGAGAGTCTGATCTTGTTTGACTTGTGCTCGATGACACATACAGAAGGGCACGTATAGGCTGGCTACCTATATTGATGACTAACACCTAGAAACAAGACATGGTGGTGAAGGTGGAAACAAAAATACTGGAGATTATTTTCAAAATTGTGTTAATTTATTTTTTCACCACTACACTGACCATTTATTCTAAAATCACATCATTCCTAATGTAATCATTATGCAAAAGGTATCTTTCTTTCAACCATATCGTCTTAGGCATGTGAGGAAATACTTTATGATAGCCCATCAATGGAAATGTTGACAATATAAATGTTCTATGAAATGGCATTCATTTACACAGAGATTTTCCATGTGCCCAACATGGTTATGGGAGCTTTATTTGAAGCCCAGTATTTTCTATCCTAAACTACTGTTACACCAAGATACCGCCCCCTTTATGAAATTCGGACAACCACCAATTCTGAATTTTGAGTAAATTAATATTGACATAGTTGTAAAGAGTGCTCCAATCATGCGCCACGGACGCACATTGAGGCGTGACTGGGTTTGCGGTTTAGTCGAATTTATGTTGGCAGCACACGTCCAGTAAAAGGTTGGACGAAAGGAAAATGCTATTGTACCCTTACCATACTACTACTATAGAAGTTCTGGCTTGTGCGAGAAACCTTCCGGGAACATCTAAACTATTTGTTTTTAGAAATCTAATGGACTATAAAGCCCTCAGATTGGAAAACATCACTATTTGTTCTTCTTTAGGAGAGTCGCACCTGCTTGTTCCAACATGAGGTATTTGGATCAGATTTTAGTTGACAACTATAATACTACCAGGGAGAATAGCAGTTGGTAGGTTACTTGCCTCGCAGGGCAGGATAGGACGGTTATTTGCTGATGCGTAACTAAGGTCCAATCTTTCGAATACCGCCACAGACTGCACCCTTTCTGCAGCCCTGACCTGAAATGCCTTTAGACCTGTGATGTATATTAATTGGATGTAAACCTGTGCATCTCGTGGCGCATGATCCTCAACAGCCTGCCTATTCCCCGCGCGCGCGATTCCTTAAAAGGTGGTGAGATGGCACACTTTATTTAGCCAATCTCAATGGCTACACTGGGAAGTACTTTTGACTAACTCACATTTGAATGAATTCAGCTGTAACAGTCCGTTTATTCTGGAACCCGGACCACATACAGCCGACTGTCTCGTTTCATCCCGTGAAGAGAATGATGATGACAGAGAACAGCGAGATGGAGACCGAGACGCAGCTCCAACGCTCGCCAAGCAACATGTCCATCACACCTGTGTCCAAGGCAAGTAGTATACTATACTCAAATGTCTCACTGGCTGACAACTGGTTCAGACCGCGGTGAAACAACAGATATCCTTGCAAGATAACCAGCTGGAGAAATTTGAACCTCAGTCCACAGTGGTTTGCAGGTTTTACGCAGTCCGTTCTTTTGACTAGATAGTGGAGGTTTTGAAATGTGAAGGTGTTTGAATGGTTGTTCCAGGTGTTTTTACATGGTGAATATGTTTGTTTTGTGTTAACACGTATACTATTTGGCCAGAAAGCCATGACAACCACATACCAGTAGCCTGTATGACTTGGCTTCAGAAAGTTAAAAGTGCTTGTTGCTTTCACCATCACATTGATATCTTTATTTTGCTTTACGATGCTGAGATGGAGATACTGTTGACTTAATATCAGAAAAAAATCATAGTTAATCACTGCTTTATTACAGTATTGGAGTAAAATATTTTTTTATATATATAGTTCATTTTCATAATTTGAATGGTAATAAACCCAACTGTCTTGAACACAATAGATTGCAGCCAGGTGTATTTCAAAACCGCATGATCAGTAAATTGCGTCACTAGGGGTATATAAAATAACTCACGTCAGGTCTGACGTAAGGGGGGCTAGAGGATTGGAACGTTCTCTTTCTCTCTCTTGCTGTGTGTGTGTCTGCGCTTACGCGCATTGCTCAATGAAGAATACTTTACTAAGGAAGGGACACGCCTGTTCCAGAATGTTTTAGAATTAATGTCCTGTCCAGGTTCTCTTACCATTAGGCCCATTAGGAAAGTTTGTTTAGTTTTGAATGTAAATGGTTTGAACACTGCAGCCACTCACAGCACTACTCCACTCACAACATTTAGTTTACTGGAAGAGATTAAAGAGTGCCAAGCAATTTCTCAACTGATACAAACCAATTTACAGTCCAGAATTCAAGGGCCCCTGCGGTTAAACATGATAGAAACAAGCAATTACACGGGACTTGCCACCAGAGTAAAAATATTTCAACTTTTGCCGTCTGCCGTAACGTTGTTTTCTACCGGATGTTGATTTGCACTGTTTGTTTACTGAAATCACCATAGCAAGGCATAAAATTGTACTGGCTTGCTTTTGCCATCACCATCTTTCTTGCTTTCTTGTCCCGTATGCCGACTGGTATGACGGTATTTGCGTCCCTCCTCTAAATGCAGCATAAGGCACACAACATCCTTTGATGTAGCCTACCTATGCTCAGCCTCAGTTGTTCAAATGAGGTTTGTGATTGCATAGAATGCTACCTGACTGCGAGACACCATTTTGAAAGGTAACCTTGAAGTAGTAGGCTATAGAATACACTGTGAAGTGTGTCAGGGTTTAAAGTGCTTTTTCTTGAAGTGCCTTTTTAAACAGACACACAGACAGCAGCCACTAGCCACACCCATTTCTCTCAGGTTGCTTCCATTTACTAGCCTCTGTTCAGACAGTTTTGTCTGTACACAACTGGCATCTGACTGTAAGCGATGTTGCAGAGCGCAATAAACATACGATTCAGTCTTCTTGAGTCCATCCATGGACCATGATGCATTCAGACACACACGTACACTCACTCAGTCGCTCATACTCTCTCTCTCACACACGCACACATGCATGCCACACACACTGTCTCACACAGACACTGAATCAGCTCACACATGCTGCACATTTCTTTTGTATTCCAGATTACTATGGTTTACTACATCACCCTGAAGAAAGCACAGTGATGCCAAAACGTTAGTGGTTTACCTAATAAATTACTGGGAGCTTGTATATAGAGGATGCAACTCTCTTTATTTATTTTTAAGCATAAAACTTACTACATCACTCTGACATTGCAATCCAAAAATGTTCCTATCATGTCATCACTACTAGGATGAAAACACATCCCTCAATGTCAGCTACTAATATCTCCCTTCATTACTGGGAGCTTAGGTTGTAGTATCAAGGGTTAGTGCCACAATGATTTATCTCTTTCACCTTAAACCCCATGGCTCTGATTGAGGTTAACTCCGGCAGTGTTAAAATAGTAGGTTAATTGCGATGTCTATGGAGCTCCCATTAAATGCTTGCAATTCAGTAGCTTGGTGCCCAAAGACACTTTCTCAGTTGTAGTCTATTAAGAATCCATTAGATGAGCACTGTGGGAAATGTTAAAGTCATTCTCTCCAAATAAACGGATCAGGGGGTGGGGAATGGACTCTATAGACAGGGTCTGATGGTCTCAGGATGTGGGGGTCTTGCTGTCAGTCTCTCGCACACGCATGCATACACACACACACACACACACACACACACACACGCTGCACACATCCCATCTCTCCGTCTATCCTTCTATCTTATCTTTCTATCCATCTATTTCTCTTTCACACACACACAATCAGAGCCACTCCAAAAGATAAGGCCTCTTGAGTGATTTGATGGGATCAGATATCACACAAGCACAAGGCCATTCTGATGAGAGGGAGATAAAGAAGAATTACTCTCATCAGATAACAGATGCTCCCTGAAGCTGCCTGCAGCGTGTTCCCACTAGTCCCAACTTAGATGAAGGATGTCAGAAATTGAGAGAAAGGCAGAGAGCCAATGAGAGAGAAGGAGAGGAGAGGAGGACTCTAGAGTGTCGCCGCTGGGCTGACTGGGCTGGCTTACAGTGGTGTGTTATGTCCAGACTGGCTGAGGTGTGTGTTTGTGTGTGTTGAGGAACAGATGAGATTCTGGAGAAGTGGACAGCAGCCATGAAAATAGCACCCTTCGCGTAGTTGCAGACTGTCATCTCTATCAACCTCTTGAAGAACAATCTGGCCTTAATGGCCATGGACTCTTATAATCTCCACCCGGAAGAGGACTGGCCACCCCTCAGAGCCTGGTTCCTCTCTAGGTTTCTTCCTAGGTTCCTGCCTTTCTAGGGAGTTTTTCCTAGCCACAGTCCTTCTACATCTGCATTGCTTGCTGTTTGGGGTTTTAGGCTGGGTTTCTGTATAGCACTTTGTGACATCTGCTGATGTAAAAAGGGCTTTATAAATATATTTGATTGACTTACCACCAGTCTCTCTCCTTAGAAAACCACTGTGATGGCTTTGATCAAGCCTACAGAATACAGGAGAGTTCAGGGAGACTGTATGTGAACTTTAATGATTCCTTCAGTAAGACAACAACAACACCAAACTTTCAAATTCAATATGCTCTTCCTCAGTTAGCTTTTGAGTTGTTGCTTTAGGCTGTGCTATAACATGGTGTCTGTCTTCCCCTCTGAGACTTCTAATACTCCTCTATCTCCCTTTGGGCAGAGCTGAGAGACAGAGACCACAGAGTGATGGGGGGGCTTTAATTGGTGTAACACCTTCACTGCTTGGATGTTTATTGATGTGACGTCTTGCCTGTCACTGACAGGGATGCACTGCTGTAGGACTGTGAAGCAGTGCAAAGATAAGGAAATATCCATGTATCATATGATTATGTGTTCACTGGAAAAGCTCCAGATATACCGCAGGTAGCATGTGCTTTGGCAATTGGGTCTCTCTCTCTCTCTCTCTCTCTCTCTCTCTCTCTCTCTCTCTCTCTCTCTCTCTCTCTCTCTCTCTCTCTCTCTCTCTCTCTCTCTCTCTCTCTCTCTCTCTCTCTCTGATTGACAGGCTGTGTATTGAGGTCTAGCGTGTGGACAGTGACTGGAGAGTGTAATGGGCGGGTGATGAGCTGTCAGGGTGCAGGTGATGGAGGGTGTCTGGGTGAGGGGGCGGAGGAGAGGGGCAGGTACTGCTGATGTGAGGAGGTGAAGAGAGGAGGGGGACGGGGGTGGAGGTGCCAGCCAGGTAGAGCAGCTATCCTTTTATTTGGAGTTTGGTTTCACACAGCCTAGCACAATATGTCTGGAAGAAATACAGAGAGAGAGAGAGAGAGAGAGAGGGAGAAAACGTGTTTGTGAGTGTGCTCTGTGTGTGCCCATTGTTTGATCAGTTGGGTTCGTGTGTGTATTTGTGTGTGTGTATGAGTGTGTGTGTGCAGAGAGAGCTAGAGAGACTGTGCTCTTGCATCTCTCATTCAAAGTGGGACTGTGCCCTTGCCATACATAATGAGCAGCTTTAGTCTAGCAGTGAAATCTACATATTTCTTATTTTTATTTTTTTATTTAACCTTTATTTAACCAGGTAAGCCAGTTGAGAACAAGTTCTCATTTACAACTGCGACCTGGCCAAGATAAAGCAAAGCAGTGCGATAAAAACAACAACACAGAGTTACATATGGGGTAAAAAAACATAAAGTCAAAAAATACAACAGAAAATATATATACAGTGTGTGCAAATGTAGCAAGTTATGGAGGTAAGGCAATAAATAGGCTATAGTGCAAAATAATTACAATTAGTATTAACACTGGAATGCTAGATGTGCAAGAGATTATGTGCAAATAGAGATACTGGGGTGCAAAAGAGCAAAATAAATAACAATATAGGGATGAGGTAGTTGGGTGGGCTAATTTCAGATGGGCTGTGTACAGGTGCAGTGATCGGTAAGGTGCTCTGACAACTGATGCTTAAAGTTAGTGAGGGAGATAAGAGTCTCCAGCTTCAGAGATTTTTGCAATTCGTTCCAGTCATTGGCAGCAGAGAACTGGATGGAATGGCGGCCAAAGGAGGTGTTGGCTTTGGGAATGACCAGTGAGATATACCTGCTGGAGCGCAGACTACGGGTGGGTGCTGCTATGGTGACCAATGAGCTAAGATAAGGCGGGGATTTGCCTAGCAGTGATTTATAGATGGCCTGGAGCCAGTGGGTTTGACGACGAACATGTAGTGAGGACCAGCCAACAAGAGCGTACAGGTCACAGTGGTGGGTAGTGTATGGGGCTTTGGAGAAAAAACGGATGGCACTGTGATAGACTACATCCAATTTGCTGAGTAGAGTGTTGGAGGCTATTTTGTAAATGACATCGCCGAAGTCAAGGATCGGTAGGATAGTCAGTTTTACGAGGGCATGTTTGGCAGCATGAGTGAAGGAGGCTTTGTTGCGAAATAGGAAGCCGATTCTAGATTTAACTTTGGATTGGAGATTCTTAATGTGAGTCTGGAAGGAGAGTTTACAGTCTAACCAGACACCTAGGTATTTGTAGTTGTCCACATACTCTAGGTCAGACCCGTCGAGAGTGGTGATTCTAGTCGGGTGGGCGGGTGCCAGCAGCGTTCGATTGAAGAGCATGCATTTAGTTTTACTAGTGTTTAAGAGCAGTTGGAGGCTACTGAAGGAGTGTTGTATGGCATTGAAGCTCGTTTGGAGGTTTGTTAACACAGTGTCCAATGAAGGGCCAGATGTATACAAAATGGTGTCGTCTGTGTAGAGGTGGATCTGAGAGTCATCAGCAGCAAGAGCGACATCATTGATATACACGGAGAAAAGAGTCGGCCCAAGAATTGAACCCTGTGGCACCCCCATAGAGACTGCCATAGGTCCAGACAACAGGCCCTCCGATTTGACACACTGAACTCTATCTGAGAAGTAGTTGGTCAACCAGGCGAGGCAGTCATTTGAGAAACCAAGGCTATTTAGTCTGCCAATAAGAATGCGGTGGTTGACAGAGTCGAAAGCCTTGGCCAGGTCGATGAAGACGGCTGCACAGTACTGTCTATTATCGATCGCGGTTATAATATCGTTTAGGACCTTGAGCGTGGCTGAAGTGCACCCATGACCAGCTCAGAAACCGGATTGCATAGCGGAGAAGGTACGGTGAGATTCGAAATGGTCGGTGATCTGTTTGTTAACTTGGCTTTCAAATACTTTCGAAAGGCAAGGCAGGATGGATATAGGTCTGTAACAGTTTGACATTCAACAGTTTCATATCCCTTCTGTTTTTCTTGCATATATGATAAAGAACAAAAGTGTTTATATTACCCTTAGTACCGGATTGGCTACTTTAATCATCTCACAATAGGATTCCCTTGCATTTAATTGGACCTTAGAAACACTGTTGCATAGCGTGATCATTTGTGTCTTTCCCCACTATTCCTCTCTTCCTCTCTGGCCACCTGTTTTTGCTCTTGTTTCGTATCAACATCATCAACCTACACAGCATCTGCATCCCCACCACTTCCTCCATCAACACAGACTCTGCAGATATTTGTATCTTCATTAGACTAATGTTAGTTCTGTTGTCAGCATTTTAAATGAGTCCTGTTTGCATCTATCTATCTATCATCTACAGGTAACTGACAAAATAATGGAAACGCTTGAGTAAATGAGGGATACAAAGTGTATTAAAAGTAGGTGATTCCACACAGGTGTGGTTCCTGAGTTAATTAAGAAATGAACATCCCATCATGCTTAGCGTCACTGAATCGTTTCATGTGGTCACTGAATGGTTTGGTGAGCATGAAAACGATATAAACCATATGCCATGGCCGTCTCAGTCACCAGATCTCAACCCAATTGAACACTTATGGGAGATTCTGGAGCGGCACCTGATACAGCATTTTCCACCACCATCAACAAAATATTCTACTGGTGGTGCTTCTAGCAGTAGCACTGCAGCAGAATTATCTCCTAGTGTAGCACTTAGAAATAGTGTAGCACTTAAACTTGGTGCTGGTTTATTTTTGTATTTAATTGACATAATGTGTGCACTCTAAACCAACACCTATGGAAGTAACCCAGAGTGGAGGCAATAGTGGAGATATTGGGTCGGAGGATGGCTACAGAGAGTGGTGCTAGGTGGGAGGGGTGAGGAATATGAAGACACCTGTGGGTCTCCAGGGCCAGCTAGTCAATCTGCTGTAGTCAACCTGTAGTCTGAACAATAATGTAGTCCGGTCAGGGAGGGGATTGCTGGGTGATGGTAAGATAAGATTATACTTGATTGTTTGCTTGCGCTGAAATTTGCCTTACGATACAATACTTCCTTACCAACCAATACCAGACAGTTAAAACAAGTTAAAATAGTACACAGAAAACCAATTGTGGAGTAGAAATTAGCTGTGTCATATATTTACCTCCGTGTGAGTCAGAGAGGTAAGGAAGGGGTGGTTCTGAGGAGAGGAGAAATGTTGGAGGGGGATAAATTCAACAACATCTCAAAGACCACAAAGCATCAGTCACTGCAGCTTTGGATCAAACATCTCACAGAGACTTCTGCCTCACTGGAATAATGTTCTATTCCCCAATGCCTCCTCCCACTGTGCTGCTTGCTTCCGATTTAAAAAGTGAACAGCAACAAAAAGAAAGAGAAAGAGAAACTTTCCCTAGACTTTCTGACATGATTGCCAGCCTGATATTATCATGAAATTGCAGGGGATAGGCATTGAATAGGGCAGTTAAGGGACTAGGATACACATAGAGTTGAAGTCGGAAGTTTACATAAACCTTAGCCAAATACATTTAAACTCAGTTTTTCACAATTCCTGACATTTAATCCTAGTAAAAATTCTCTGTCTTAGGTCAGTTAGGATCACCACTTTATTTTAAGAATGTGAAATGTCAGAATAATAGTAGAGAGAATTATTTATTTCAGCTTTTATTTCTTTCATCACATTCCCAGTGGGTCAGAAGTTTACATACACTCAATTAGTATTTGGTAGCATTGCCTTTAAATTGTTTAACTTGGGTAAACGTTTAGGGTAGCCTTCCACAAGCTTCCCACAAAAAGTTGGGTGAATTTTGGCCCATTCCTCCTGACAGAGCTGGTGTAACTGAGTTAGGTTTGTAGGCCTCCTTGCTCGCACACGCTTTTTTCAGTTCTGCCCACAAATTTTCTATAGGATTGAGGTCAGGGCTTTGTGATGGCCACTCCAATACCTTGTCCTTAAGCCATTTTGTCACAACTTTGGAAGTATGCTTGGGGTCATTGTCCATTTGGAAGACCCATTTGCAATCAAGCTTTAACTTCCTGACTGATGTCTTGAAACGTTGCTTCAATATATCCACATAATTTTCCTTCCTCATGATGCCATCTATTTTGTGAAGTGCACCAGTCCCTCTTGCAGCAAAGCACCCCCACAGCATGATGCTGCCACCCCCGTGCTTCACGGTTGGGATGGTGTTCTTCGGCTTGCAAGCTTCCCCCTTTTTCCTTCAAACATAACGATGGTCATCATGGCTAAACAGTTATATTTTTGTTTCATCAGACCAGAGGACATTTCTCCAAAAAGTATGATCTTTGTCCCCATGTGCAGTTGCAAACCGTAGTCTGGCTTTTTTATGGCGGTTTTGGAGCAGTGGCTTCTTCCTTGCTGAGCGGCCTTTCAGGTTATGTCGATATAGGACTCATTTTACTGTGGATATAGATACAGTGAGGGAAAAAAGTATTTGATCCCCTGCTGATTTTGTACGTTTGCCCACTGACAAATAAATGATCAGTCTATAATTTTAATACTAGGTTTATTTGAACAGTGAGAGACAGAATAACAACAAAAAAATCAAAAAAACGCATGTCAAAAATGTTATAAATTGATTTGCATTTTAATGAGGGAAATAAATATTTGACCCCCTCTCAATCACAAAGATTTCTGGCTCCCAGGTGTCTTTTATACAGGTAACGAGCTGAGATTAGGAGCACACTCTTAAAGGGAGTGCTCCTAATCTCAGCTTGTTACCTGTATAAAAGACACCTGTCCACAGAAGCAATCAATCAATCAGATTCCAAACTCTCCACCATGGCCAAGACCAAAGAGCTCTCCAAGGATGTCAGGGACAAGATTGTAGACCTACACAAGGCTGGAATGGGCTATAAGACCATCGCCAAGCAGCTTGGTGAGAAGGTGACAACAGATGGTGCGATTATTCCCAAATGGAAGAAACACAAAATAACTGTCAATCTCCCTCGGCCTGGGACTCCATGCAAGATCTCACCTCGTGGAGTTGCAATGATCATGAAAACGGTGAGGAATCAGCCCATAACTACACGGGAGGATCTTGTCAATGATCTCAAGGCAGCTGGGACCATAGTCACCAAGAAAACAATTCGTAACACACTACGCCGTGAAGGACTGAAATCCTGCAGCGCCCGCAAGGTCCCCCTGCTCAAGAAAGCACATATACAGGCCCGTCTGAAGTTTGCCAATGAACATCTGAATGATTCAGAGGAGAACTGTGTGAAAGTGTTGTGGTCAGATGAGACCAAAATCGAGCTCTTTGGCATCAACTCAACTCGCCGTGTTTGGAGGAGGAGGAATGCTGCCTATGACCCCAAGAACACCATCCCCACCGTCAAACATGGAGGTGGAAACATTATGCTTTGGGGGTGTTTTTCTGCTAAGGGGACAGGACAACTTCACCGCATCAAAGGGACGATGGACGGGGCCATGTACCGTCAAATCTTGGGTGAGAACCTCCTTCCCTCAGCCAGGGCATTGAAAATGTGTCGTGGATGGGTATTCCAGCATGACAATGACCCAAAACACACGGCCAAGGCAACAAAGGAGTGGCTCAAGAAGAAGCACATTAAGGTCCTGGAGTGGCCTAGCCAGTCTCCAGACCTTAATCCCATAGAAAATCTGTGGAGGGAGCTGAAGGTTCGAGTTGCCAAACGTCAGCCTCGAAACCTTAATGACTTGGAGAAGATCTGCAAAGAGGAGTGGGACAAAATCCCTCCTGAGATGTGTGCAAACCTGGTGGCCAACTACAAGAAACGTCTGACCTCTGTGATTGCCAACAAGAGTTTTGCTACCAAGTACTAAATCATGTTTTGCAGAGGGGTCAAATACTTATTTCCCTCATTAAAATGCAAATCAATTTATAACATTTTTGACATGCGTTTTTCTGGATTTTTGTTTTGTTATGCTGTCTCTCACTGTTCAAATAAACATACCATTAAAATTATAGACTGATCATGTCTTTGTCAGTGGGCAAATGTACAAAATCAGCAGGGGATCAAATACTTTTTTCCCTCACTGTACTTTTGTACCTGTTTCCTCCAGCATCTTCACAAGGTCCTTTGCTGTTGTTCTGGGATTGATTTGCACTTTTCCCACCAAAGTACGTTCAACTCTAGGAGAAAGAATGCGTCTCCTTCCTGAGCGGTATGACGGCTGGGTGGTCCCATGGTGTTTATACTTGCGTACTATTGTTTGTACAGATGAATGTGGTACCTTCAGGCGTTTGGAAATTGCTCCCAAGGATGAACCAGACTTGTGGAGGTCTACCATTTTTTTTTTGAGGTCTTGGCTGATTTCTTTTGATTTTCCCATGATGTCAAGCAGAGGCACTGAGTTTGAAGGTAGGCCTTGAAATACATCCACAGGTACACCTCCAATTGACTCAAATGATGTCAATTAGCCTATCAGAAGCTTCTAAAGCCATGACATAATTTTTTGGAATTTTTCAAGCTGTTTAAAGGCACAGTCAACTTAGTGTATGTAAACTTCTGACCCACTGGAATTGTGATTCCGTGAATTATAAGTGAAATAATCTGTCTGTAAACAATTGTTGGAAAAGTTACTTGTGTCATGGTCAAAGTAGATGTCCTAACCGACTTGCCAAAACAATAGTTTGTTAACAAGAAATTTGTGGAGTGGTTGAAGAACGAGTTTTAATGACTCCAACCTAAGTGTATGTAAACTTCCGACTTCAACTGTATGTATGCCAGGGTTGGATGTGTACAGTAGCTAGGTCACGTGGGTATTGAATGCAAAGGACATAATACACATAGAAAGTACATCAAACATTCATTATGAACAGGAGTCTATTGGATTACTATACATGAAGCGAACTGGAAGTACTGTATGTTAATTTTGGCGTTGCTTCAGAAATATAAGCTGTGGACCTCTCAGCTAATATTAAAATAGAGGTTAACAAGGATTTTTCTTTGGCTGCGTCCCAAATGGCACCCTATTCTATCTATAGTGAACTGCTTTTGACCACGGCCCAGCACAGAGGCTTTATTAGATAACTTCTAATTGAGACGTGTTTTAGCACGGTGCGGGCAACAGGCTACGCCAACCATAGTAATAGAATCTAGATTTTATTACTATGACGCCAACGCTTCTTTCCTCTGAGTTAACATGCTCTGTACAAACGCATGACGCACTGCACCGCACCTTATGGTAGCTACGTAGGGAGCACTGCACTGACAGGTGTGTCAAACCAAACAGCCTCTCCACTTCAATTCCCAATCCTCATAGACTCAGATAATCAACAGTAATCAAAAGATTTGACACGGGGAGAAACACACACTTTACACAAACAAGCACACGCGTGCACTCACACACACACTTCTATGCTCACTAACACGTACAAAGGAACACTGGGTAGCTATCTGTCTTTCTGACTCACACGCTCTCTTGGACAAACTGTTTTCATCTCCTATTCCCTGAGAAACAGAGGCGTAAGCTCTGCTAGCAGCAGACAGACGGACAGAGAGAGAGAGAGAGAGTGTGTGTGTGTGTGTGCCGGTGTGCATTCGCACGCACAGTGCAGGGAGCTGTGTCTGTGGTGGATCAATGGTGTGTCTGCCTACCCTGGTCCCTTCTTTTAGATTCAGACAGAGAGGACAACTCCCTCCTCTCTCTGCTAGCTCTTCTTCCTCCAGTCACCTCTATGGTGTCTCTGTGACAGATACTTCACCACAGCACCATCCATAACACCTAACACCACATGATGTATGATCATCAATATCTCGGGCCTGAGGAGCAGGTTGGCATTTATTGTCATGAATCTTGCCCTGGAGGCAGCTCTGCAGTGGTCACTAGCTAGCACAGCCACAAAGTCATAAAATCTGATTTTAAACCTAGCTCTAACCTTAACCCTAAATTTAACCACACGGCTAATCCTAATGCCTTACCCTAACCTTAAATTAAGACAAAAAAAAACACATTGTTTTCATGGATTTGTACGATAATAGCCAAGTTTGACTTTGCAGCTGGCCCATCTAGCAGAAATTGTTCAGTTCTGCCTCAAGCGCAAGATTCATGACAATAAAAGTCAACCTGCGCCTGGGGAGCTCATCAGTCAGTTAGGGGACATGTACTTATTTAGGTAATCAATGCAAGTTAGAGAGACAGGATACAGGAGTGATGGCTTTGACATGTGTTCATTTATCAGTCATGCAGGAACAGCTTGGTCAATAGAGCTGATAAGGAATGAATGATAGTCAAGTCATGTATGTGGGGTAAGGATGCTGTGTGTGTGTGTGTGTGTGTGTGTGTGTGTGTGTGTGTGTGTGTGTGTGTGTGTGTGTGTATGTGTACATTGCATGCATAGGTTTGTGTGTGTGATGTGTGTGTTTTTTAAGCCCATCATCCGTACTGACAATGAGCCAGAGGCAGGCTGGTGTGGCGACATCATCAATAGGTCCTGTAAAGGAACTGAATCAGATAAGGAGCCAGGAGATTGGTTGCTGATAGCGGGTGATAAGGCTGCTGGGTAAACTGGCTCAGTCCCAACGTGGAATAGACTGAATTGACGTCTGTGCCCAGTGGGTTACCGCTAGCAACCTTACATGAAACCCAACTAAATGGGATTTCACAAATTATTCTTTCCCATGTGAGTGCTAATGTCCTTTTGTGCTGTCGGTTTTCCATGAAATAGTTTTGCACACGGATGGCCTTGTGAGCTCTCTAAACTATTATACAACACTACTTGTTTTATGGAAACAACTTGGTAATGGAAAATTGCTTGTTTGTCCTCTTGGGGAACAACTGGTACGTTCACCTGTTATTGTACCTGTTAAATCCCTAACGTGTTGGTATCTGTTGTGAATCCTCCTCTTGCTCTCCTCTTCTTTCCCTCCCTGCAGCTCCAGCGTCTGAAGCGCTCCCTCTCCTTTAAGACCCTGATGCGCAGTAAGAGTGTGGAGAACTTCTTCCAGAGGTCCTACAGCGACGCCCGTCTCCCCCCAGACTTCATCACCGATCCACCACCCCCCTCCCCGCCCCTTGGCTCTCCCCTCGCCAGTGAACGTTCACCCTCCCTCTCTCCGTCACTCAGCCCCAACCCCTCCCTCTGCTCCCACTCCCCGTCTCTAAGCCCCTCCCCCTCGCTGTCCTCCAAGGCCCCGCCCCCGGCCCGCCCCCTGACGCAGGTGACCCACTGCTTCCAGGAGCACGTTTTCCGCAAGCCCACCCACTGCCAGCTCTGCAAGCACCTGATCGTGGGTAAGGTGCGAACTTTACTCCCAGGCCTCTCGGCACTACCAGCCTGCTTAGGCCTCAGTGTCTATGTAGGGTTAGTTGCTTCATTCAGACATTTATCCTGGTTGCTTGATCTTGTATTTCTAGCTGATCAGTAATACTACTTTATTAGGTCACTGCCACTATCCATTACACTAGAATCCACTTGACTATTAAGTGAACGGGGGGGGGGGAAATTTCCCAAAGGCGAAACTGACTGGGTTTAATGACTGGAAATTTAAATTAGTTGAAATTACTCCAAAATTTTAATTTCCCTATTCAATAGCAATAAAAAATTTTAAATATTGATAACAGGGGAAGCAAAACATTAGGTGGACTTTAATGTGAATTTTTGAAAGGGGAATAAAAAGGGTACCCAAAAAATGGTATTACAAATCCGTCATATGTGTATCCTTGGTTTTGGACAGTGGGGGGTTTTAAATTAGTTAGTGTGTTAAAATGCCCCCGATTTTATATGCTGTGGGGTAGAGGGGGCCTTAAAATTCTCATTTTCTTTTTTCTTTTTCTAAATCTACTTCCTGTAAAAAACCTTTATTGAAGAAAAAGCTATTAGGGGTTGCGTTTGTTGGGTTTTCTTAAATATCGTTTTTTTTTAAAAGAACCCGGAACCAAAAATTGTTGTAGTGCCCCTGTCCCCCTTTATATTTTTTTTTTCTCTTTTTCTTTGTTCTTTTCTTTATCCTTCCTTCTCTTCCCAAATTTCTTTCTTCCAAATCTTTCTGTTATCCTTTCTCTTTCTTTAAAAACTCTCCCCTCCCTTTAAAATCTTTCTGTCTTTTTTTTTTTCTTTCTCTCCATTTCCTCTTGCCCAATCTCCGTTTCGCCAAATTCTTTTCGGGGCCCCCTTCTTCTTTTCCCAACAATATCTTTTAAAAATTTTATATAAAAACCCCCCCGTTCCCCAAAATTTTCCCAGTTTTCTTTTATCCTCAATCTCCTTTTTATGAAAAATTATATATGATGGATTAAGGACACTTCAAGGCGCACTGACTAGGTGTAATGACTGGAATAATTAGTTGAAATACTCACATAATTAATTCCATTAAAGAGTAGAACTAGCACATAGGTGATAGTAATTTATTGCGATAATCATGGTATTGTTCGGAAGCGTAAAGTCAGTTAGTGTGTCATGCCTTTTATACGTGCGTTAGAGGTCCTAACTCTCTATTTTTCTGCAGGAAATAGCATGTACTGTCACATGTATTCAGAAGCTATAGTGACTTGGTTTGCTGGTTGCTTACATCACGTTTTCTTCAACGCACCATGATGATAGCATGTGTAGATGTAGGACATAAAGTTCTAAATATATGTATTGCAATCTATTCCTGCACATATGATTAGATATTATTGCGTTCATTTTTACATCATCTATCTCTATTCTATCAACACCAGGATTTATTAGCTCATCAGTCAAGTTTCTATATTCTTTCTTACAAGTCTCTCATCTCATCTCATCTCAAGTCTCTATGTCTCATCTATCTCATCATCTCTACTCTCTCCTCCACTCTATCATCAGTCTCTCTCTACAAGTCTCTCCCTCTCTCTCCAGTCTTCTCTTCTCTCTCTCCATCTCTCCTCATCTCTCTCCCAGTCTCTCTCTCTCCCAGTCTCTCCTCTTCTCTCATCTTCTCATCCTCTCTACCAGTATCTCCTCTCCCGTCCTCTCTCTCCAGTCTCTCCTCTCTCTCTCCCAGTCTCTCTGTCTCTCTCTCCCAGTCTCTCTGTCTCTCATCTTTCTCCCAGTCTCTCTCTCTCATCTCTCTCCCAGTCTCTCCTCTCTCTCTCCCAGTCTCTCTGTCTCTTCTCTCTCTCCGTCTCTCTTCTCTCTCCTAGTCTCTCTGTCTCTCCTCTCTCTCCGTCTCTCCTCTTTCCCAGTCTCTCCCAGTTTCTCCTCTCTCTCTCCCAGTCTCTCTTTTCTCTCCCAGTCTCTCTTCTCTCTCCCAGTATATCCTCTCTCGCTCCCAGTCTCTCCTCTCTCTCCCAGTCTCCTAGTGCAGTTTGTAACTGAGCTAGAGCAAATAGAAGATTCAGTTCAATTCATGTTTTTTTGGTTTGTGGTTCCACGTCTTTGTCATGGATTGGTAATCATAGGGCTCTAGACTAAATCCTTCTAAACAATATGTTTGGCACCAGTGAATAAGTAAACCTTGAACTGGAAATAAATTGTTTGGAACTCAACACAATGCAGCTGAATGTCATAGGGATTATCTTCTCTCTCTCCAACATATAAAAGAAAAACGCAAAACTAATTATATCAAGAAAGAGGACAAAGAACATTTCTCCACTCTAACTAGGCTTGTTTCTAAGACAGTGCTTGATAAGAATTGGTGTGACTAAAAAACTAATAGAACCCAAATGCCTCCAGCTGGTTGTGAGTCTCTCCATGTTTTGAGAGGGACCGTTGATGATGCACTGCTTAGTTCAGCAGGCAGTGCCAGCACAATAGAAATAGGGCAGTGCTTGATCAACCCTCTCTGGGCGATTTACATGAAACAGGAACCTGCTCTGATCACATGCCAACCTTATTTATTACTACATTCTGTATCTTCCTCACAGGTCTCGGTCCTTGTTTTAACTCTCCTCTTTCCTCTTTTCTTTTTACCTCTCTCTCAATTTTCAATTTCAATTTCAATTTAAGGGCTTTATTGGCATGGGAAACGTGTGTTAACATTGCCAAAGCAAGTGAAGTAGATAGTAAACAAAAGTGAAATAAACAATAAATATTAACAGTAAACATTACACTCAGAAGTTTCAAAAGAATAAAGACATTTCAAATGTCATATTATGTATATATACAGTGTTGTAACAATGTGCAAATAGTTAAAGTACAAATGGGAAAATAAATAAACATAAATATGGGTTGTATTTACAATGGTGTTTGTTCTTCACTGGTTGCCCTTTTCTTGTGGCAACAGGTCACAAATCTTGCAGCTATGATGGCACACTGTGGTTTTTCACCTAGTAGATAAGGGAGTTTATCAAATTTGGGTTTGTTATCGAATTCTTTGTGGATCGCTATAATCTGAGGGAAATATGTGTCTCTAATATGGTCATACATTTGGCAGGAGGTTAGGAAGTGCAGCTCAGTTTCCACCTCATTTTGTGGGCAGTGTGCACATAGCCTGTCTTCTCTTGAGAGCCAGGTCTGCCTACGGCGGCCTTTCTCAATAGCAAGGCTATGCTCACTGAGTCTGTACATAGTCAAAGCTTTCCTTAAGTTTGGGTCAGTCACAGTGGTCAGGTATTCTGCCACTGTGTACTCTCTGTTTAGGGCCAAATAGCATTCTAGTTTGCGCTGTTTTTTTGTTTGTTCTTTCCAATGTGTCAAGTAATTCTCTTTTTGTTTTCTCATGATTTGGTTGGGTCTAATTGTGTTGTTGTTGTTGTTGTTGTCCTGGGGCTGTGTGGGGTCTGTTTGTGTTTGTGAACAGAGGCCCAGGACAAGCTTACTTAAGGGACTCTTCTCCAAGTTAATCTCTCTGTAGGTGATGGCTTTGTTATGGAAGGTTTGGGAATCGCTTCCTTTTAAGTGGTTATAGAATTTAACGGCTCTTTTCTGGATTTTGATAATTAGCGGGTATTGGCCTAATTCTGCTCTGCATGCATTATTTGGTGTTTTACGTTGTACACGGAGGATGTTTTTGCAGAATTCTGCATGCAGAGTCTCAATTTGGTGTTTGTCCCATTTTGTGAATTCTTGGTTGGTGAGCGAACCCCAGACCTCACTACCATAAAGGGCAATGGGTTCTATAACTGATTCTATAACTGACTATAAAAGTATTTTTAGCCAGATCCTAATTGGTATGTCAAATTTTATGTTCCTTTTGATGGCATAGAAGGCCCTTCTTGCCTTGTCTCTCAGATCGTTCACAGCTTTGTGGAAGTTACCTGTGGCGCTGATGTTTAGGCCGAGGTATGTATCGTTTTTTGCATGCTCTAGGGTAACAGTGTCTAGATGGAATTTGTATTTGTGGTCCTGGCAACTGGACCTTTTTTGGAACACCATTATTTTTGTCTTACTGAGATTTACTGTCAGGGCCCAGGTCTGACAGAATCTGTGCAGAAGATCTAGGTGCTGCAGATCATCAGCAAACAGTATACATTTGACTTCAGATTCTAGTAGGGTGAGGCCGGGTGCTGCAGACTGTTCTAGTGCCCTCGCCAATTCGTTGATATATATGTTGAAGAGGGTGGGGCTTAAACTGCATCCCTGTCTCACCCCACGGCCCTGTGGAAAGAAATGTGTGTGTTTTTTGCCAATTTAACCGCACATAGCAGACCCTCATGCCAAATTGAGTCAAAAGCTTTTTTGAAATCAACAAAGCATGAGAAGACTATGCCTTTGTTTTGGTTTGTTTGTTTGTCAATTAGGGTGTGCAGGGTGAATATGTGGTCTGTTGTACGGTCATTTGGTAAAAAGCCAATTTGACATTTGCTCAGTACATTGTTTTCACTGAGGAAATGAACTAGTCTGCTGTTAATGATAATGCAGAGGATTTTCCCAAGGTTGCTGTTGACGCAAATCCCACGGTAGTTATTGGGGTCAAATTTGTCTCCACTTTTGTGGATTGGGGTGATCAGTCCTTGGTTCCAAATATTGGGGAAGATGCCAGAGCTAAGGATGATGTTAAAGAGTTTAAGTATAGCTAATTAAAATTTGTGGTCTGTATATTTTATCATTTCATTGAGGATACCATCAACACCACAGGCCTTTTTGGGTTGGAGGGTTTGTATTTTGTCCTGTAGTTAATTCAATGTAATTGGAGAATCCAGTGGGTTCTGGTAGTCTTTAATAGTTGATTCTAATATTTGCATTTGATCATGTATATTTTTTTGCTGTTTGTTCTCTGTTATAGGGCCAAAAAGATTGGAGAAGTGGTTTACCCATACATCTCCGTTTTGGATAGATAGCTCTTCGTGTTGTTGTTTGTTTAGTGTTTTCCAATTTTCCCAGAAGTGGTTAGAGTCTATGGATTCTTCAATTACATTGAGCTGATTTCTGACATGCTGTTCCTTCTTTTTCCGTAGTGTATTTCTGTATTGTTTTAGTGATTCACCATAGTGAAGGCGTAGGCTCAGGTTTTCTGGGTCTCTATGTTTTTGGCTGGATAGGTTTCTCAATTTCTTTCTTAGGTTTTTGCATTCTTCATCAAACCATTTATCACTGTTATTACTTTTCTTTGGTATTCTGTTATAGATTTTTAGATTTGATAGGGAAGCTGAGAGGTCAAATATACTGTTTAGGTTTTCTACTGCCAAGTTTACACCTTCACTATTACAGTGGAACATTTTGTCCAGGAAGTTGTCTAGAATGGATTGAATTTGTTTGTTTTGGTAGGTTTCAACACTACTTTCCTTCCATCTATAGCATTTCTTAGTCCCCTCGAAGCCTACCATTGACTATGTACATACCCAGTGTGCAACAGAGCTGCAGGAGTCGTGACCCGTTTTTGTTGGTTATGTTGTCGTAGTTGTGCCTAGGGGGGCATATGGGGGAGGGAATGCTGTCACCTCCAGGTAGGTGTTTGTCCCCGTGTGTGCTGAGGGTGTCAGGTTCTTGTCCAGTTTTGGCATTTAGGTCGCCACAGACTATTACATGTCCCTGGGTCTGGAAATGATTGATTTCCACCTCCAGGATGGAGAAGCTGTCTTCATTAAAGTATGGGTATTCTAGTGGGGGGATATAGGTAGCACACAGGAGGACATTTTTCTCTGTTGAGATAATTTCCTTTTGAATTTCTAACCAAATGTAAAATGTTCCTGTTTTTATTTAATTTAATAGAGTGAGTTAGGTCTGCTCTATACCAAATTAGCATACCCCCTGAGTCCCTTCCCTGTTTCACACCTGGTAGTTTGGTGGATGGGACTACCAGCTCTCTGTAACCTAGAGGGCAACCAGTGGGTCCGTCTCCTCTATACCATGTTTCTTGTATGTTTCTCTCTCTCTCTCTGTAGGTAACTCTAAACAGGGTCTTCGGTGTAAAACCTGTAAGATGGGCGCTCACCTGTGGTGCACCTCAGAATTGTCCCAGCAGCCGTGCAATGGAAAGGTATGCCAGATAGATGCCATTGGTATGTAGGGGAAGTCAGGTCCCTGAACAACGTTGTTTGAAATTCACTGAGAAATTCAGGAGCTGTTGGATGTAGAATAAAATACTGTACTGAGAAGTTGAGAGGGAGTGTGTGAGAGAGGGAGGGAGGGAGAGAGAGATATGGGAGGATTATCTACGATGAGCCAGAATATCTTTGAAAGGAACAAAGAAACGCCATTCATCCCTGTATTATGACAGTGCTAATAGCTCATCTCAATGTCAGCACACAGGGAAATCAATATCTCCATTGAAACAGTCCCCGTGCCTAATTCAGTGTGAAATTGTTTGTGTGTTCTGTGTGCAGTTGTGATAGTGTAGGTAGGCTGTGTGCTTGTGTGAGTGTTTCATTATGTGTGTGTGTGTGTGTGTGTGTGTGTGTGTGTGTGTGTGTGTGTGTGTGTGTGTGTGTGTGTACATGCACATGGGTGCGCGTGTTGACTGTATTGACTGTTGGTCAGACAGTTGCTGCTAAGTCCGTCCTATCTCATCCTCTCTCTCTACTTCAATTACTGGAATGTAATTCCATACATTAGCTGAATAGAAAACCAGCAACACAGGCTATAAAAATGAATGAATATAAACAGAAAATCCTGATTACTATCCCTCCTCTGTGTGTGTTAGTCTGGGGTCGGGGCGTTCAAGCGGAACTTCAGCTCTCCCATGCTGGCCAACGAACAACTGGCTGTCGTCAAAGAGGTCCAGCCCACCCAAGGTGAGCATGCCCGGTAAAGAAAGTGTGGATTTGTGTATCTGCATCCATGTGTGGGGTGTCGTGCATGAATACATGTGTGTATTCTGCACATGTCCATCTGCATGTGTGTGTCCTATCCTAGCACCCTGAGGAAGTGGACGTGATTATTGTCCTTCACCCTATAGAATAGATCCTTATGAATAAGGGTCAGCTCTCATTCCACCTGCTGTCCCTTTCTTCTTTCCTTGTTTCCTTCCTCCAGGCATCCATCAGTGTTCAGTTAACCTGCCCCCTCACTTTCACCACCATAACCCCAGGTCTGTCACTTTGACGTCTGGGCTTCTGTCCAAAAATGGGACCCTATCCCCTTGGCACTGTCAAAAGTAGTGCACTATAAATGGAATAGGGTGCCGTTTGGGACTCACCTTGGGTCTGGTTCTGAGCCAGGGCAGGCTGGGAATATCACCTGTCATCACACACATCAGGTTAGATAGAACAGCCCATCTGGCTGCCATTACAGTGACTGTTGAGTAGGGAAATAACTGGTTTAGTTTTAGTTAAATCTAGGTTTAAATTGACGGGGCTCTACCTGGAATAGAGAACCAGTTCCAACTCCCAACTGATTCTCGCTCTGACTGAAACTCTGAAAAAACATGAACTCAATACAGCCTCTACCACTAATGCTTCAATTTCATCTCACAAAACATTGAAACGACAATGTACAGTTGAAGTTGGAAGTTTACATACACCATAGCCAAATACATTTAAACTCAGTTTTTCACAATTCCTGACATTTAATCCTAGTAAATATTCCCTGTCTTAGGTCAGTTAGGATCACCACTTTATTTTAAGAATGTGAAATGTCAGAATAATAATAGAGAGAATTATTTATTTCAGCTTTTATTTCTTTCATCACATTCCCAGTGGGTCAGAAGTTTACATACACTCAATTAGTATATGGTAGCATTGCCTTTAAATTGTTTAACTTGGGTCAAACGTTTCGGGGAGCCTTCCACAAGCTTCCCACAATAAGTTGGGTGAATTCTGGCCCATTCCTCCTGACAGAGCTGATGTGACTGAGTCAGGTTTGTAGGCCTCCTTGCTCGCACACGCTTTTTCAGTTCTGCCCACACATTTACTATAGGATTAAGGTCAGGGCTTTGTGATGGCCACTCCAATACCTTGACTTTGTTGTCCTTAAGCCATTTTGCCACAACCTTGGAAGTATGCTTGGGGTCATTGTCCATTTGGAAGACCCATTTGCGACCAAGCTTTAACTTCCTGACTGATGTCTTGAGATGTTGTTTCAATATATCAACATAATTTCCCTTCCTCATGATGCCATCTATTTTGTGAAGTGCACCAGTCCCTCCTGCAGCAAAGCACCCACACAGCATGATGATGCCACCCCCGTGCTTCACGGTTGGGATGGTGTTCTTCGGGCTGCAAGTAGCCCCCTTTTTCCTCCAAACATAACGATGGTCATTATGGCCAAACAGTTCTATTTTTGTTTCATCAGACCAGAGGACATTTCTCCAAAAAGTACGATATTTGTCCCCATGTGCAGTTGCAAACCGTAGTCTGGCTTTCTTATGGCGGTTTTGGAGCAGTGGCTTCTTCCTTGCTGAGCGGTCTTTCAGGTTATGTCGATACAGGAATCGTTTTACTGTGGATATAGATGCTTTTGTACCTGTTTCCTCCAGCATCTTCACAAGGTCATTTGCTGTTGTTCTGGGATTGATTTGCACTTTTCGCACCAAAGTACGTTCATCTCTAGGAGACAGAACGCGTCTCCCTCCTGAGCGGTATGATGCCTGTGTGGTCCCATGGTGTTTATACTTGCATACTATTGTTTGTACAGATGAACGTGGTACCTTCAGGCGTTTGGAAATTGCTCCCAAGGATGAACCAGACTTGTGGAGGTCTACAATTTATTTATTGGCTGATTTCTTTTGACTTTCCCATGATGTCAAGCAAAAAGGCACTGCGTTTGAAGGTAGGCCTTGAAATACATCCACAGGTACACCTCCAATTGACTCAGATTATGTCAATTAGCCCATCAGAAGCTTCTAAAGCCATTACATAATTTTCTGGAATTTTCCAAGCTGTTTAAAGGCACAGTCAACTTAGTGTATGTAAACTTCTGACCCACTGGAATTGTGATACAGTGAATTATAAGTGAAATAATCTGTAAACAATTGTTGGAAAAATTACTTGTGTCATGCATAAAGTAGATGTCCTAACCGACTTGCCAAAACTATAGTTTGTTAACAAGAAATGTGTGGAGTGGTTGAAAAACGAGTTTTAATGACTCCAACCTAAGTGTATGTAAACTTCCAACTTCAACTGTACTTCCTGAAAATACAATGTCCAAACTTGTAAAGAGCCTACTGGTGCCCTCTGTCAGATCTTAAGTAGGTCACTGTCTGTCTGGGACTGTGTCATTAAAGCTATATTTAGAGCTCTGGACTCCCTTAATGGCAGTTATGATGGCAGTTATACATATGATCCCAATCTGTGATGCAGCTTCTAAGAGGTTGTGTGTGTGTGTGTGTGTGTGTGTGTGTGCCTGCTTGCACTCGTGTGTGTCTGTGCGTGTGGTTTAAATATGTGTGTGTTTTCAGGGGCAGCCTGGGGGCGTGGTGTGGACCCTATTTACGCAGCCCTGCGCTATGGGACGTCCCTGGCCCAGATGAGCCGCTCCAGTTTTGGGAGCATGTCTGAGTCGCCCACGCACAGCCAGGTATGACGTCACCACCTGTACCATGAGGACACACAGCCTGTTAATTAGTGAGTCTATAGATGGTGGCTTCACCTTCATGTGACCCTGTATTCGATCTTCACGTGTTCCATCACCTGCATGTGAGCCTCTTTCTTTTGTCCTGTTGTGTTTCCGTACAACATGAAGGCTGATAAAATAAAAATAAATGATTAACCCTTATTTTACCAGGTAAGTTGACTGAGAACAGATTCTCAGGCTCTGAGTCATAGAGATATACTGTAGCTGAGAATTATAGTTTAAGGGAGGGAGAATTGCTGGTATATGTTTATGACAGAGAAAACTACAGAAACACAATAATTGAAAATAACAGGATTTAGTGTCTCAATGCGTCCCGAGTTTGTCCTCTCTCACACTGTTGCATCTTTTCCTCTATGATTTGTTTTCTTAAAATCCCTATTTTTTCTTTTCTGTTTCTCAGGGTGAAGGAGGGGAAGGAGGAGAGGAGGGGGAGCAGAGGCAGTACAGCATGGAGGAGGAGATGCCACAGGAGACGGGGGGTAAGAACGTGTGTGTGTGTGTCTGTTTGCGTGTGTGTGCCCTCATGTATTTGTGTGTGTGTGTGTCTTGAGAATGCACATGCTTGCTTGTGTGTGGTGACGTGTCCTGTCTGACCTGGTCGTTCAGGCTGAGTGACCCATCTCCTCTGTCTGTCAGATCTGCCTCAGTGTGAAAACGAGAAGGCTGAACCGGAGGATGGGGGCAGTGAGCAGCTCCAGGAGCCTGTGGAGGAAACCAGTGTGAAGGTAGACACACACAGTCCTTTTCCTGCTAGCTGACCTTATGTTCAGAGACGCTATATTTAACTGAAACATTTCCGTCTGTATTCCTTCTCCCTGTCTGCCTCCATCCAGGTGCCCAAGCGTATTGAGGTTCACTCTATCCATACTTATGTAGCGCTCTACAAGTTCTTGCCTCAGGAGCACAACGACCTCGGACTAGAGTGAGTGAACGAATGGGGTCTGTTTGTGTGGGTTTGTATGTACCTATACGTGTGTCCTTCCGTGCATGTGTGTCCTTCCCAGTATTTTACTGCATCTGTCATTTCTTCAAGATGAAAACGTCCTTACCATCTGTAGAAGGGACAATGTGAAGGAACCCTTAAGGAGGTGCAGCCTGCTAATTATAAAACACAACGACCATCACCGCCCACAAATACACACAGACCGCTTTGGGGGGCTGAATAAAGACACTGAAAATGAATTTGAGATGAAATATGGAGGGACTCGATAGAGAGAACAGCTTGAAACAGACATGAGCACAGGGGGAGAGGAAAGAACAGCGTGGTGGGGGAAGGGAGAGACGAAAGAGAAGCAAAGAATGTCAGCAGAAGAGAGAAGAGGGTAGAAGGGAGTGAGAGGAAGAGGAGGAGGAAGGAAAGGAAAGGGATGAGGGAGGAAAGATAGAGGAGTATAAAGGTCAGGATGTGTGTTAGGGAGAGGAGAAGAGAGCTGTGGGTGCAGGTAAAAAAAGAGGGACATCGCCATGGGGATGGTTCACAGCCATCTGGTGTCTCACGGGTGTATGTATGTGTGTGTGTGTGAGAGTGTGTGAGTGTGTGAGAGACAGGCCAGGACGATCAAATAGGGCAGCAGCAGACACCCAAGGGACTCCATATAGAGAATTTGTGTAATGGGGACAGTACAGTAGCTCTGTGTATATAGGACAGTACACTACCTCTGTATATAGGACAGTGGATACTGGATAGTCTGTGTACATCAGTCTGATTAATGTTTATGTGTTTGTGAGTGGTGTGTGCTTGTGCATAGGGCTGTGGCGGTCATGGAATTTTGGATGATGGTAATTGGCCAGCCAAATGACCGCGGTCACCGTAATAACTGTTCAAATAGCCGGGGGAAAAAATTCACATTTTCTCCTTTCCTCTGCCGCTGACTGCACGTCCTGCCATAGAAATATAATTAATAGAACTGGCATCCCCATTCAAGTCAATTATGGCATAGTGGGTGGAAGTAAAAGCAGGATGTAAAAGCAGGAATCAATATGAGCTGTGAATTGTTGATTCAACTCAACTGACATTACAAAACATACATTACGTTGCATGAGCCACATCAGTCAACATCATTTGAATGAACATTCTACATTACCATGGAAATTATTGCATCACAATACCAGGCAGCCATTGCAGTGTACCCAGGAGTTTACCAGTCAAATTGTGTGCTATGTGTTCTGCTAATGCAGGGAGGGGGCGCTGCCTAGGCAACCGAAGACTCGTTTGCTACAACACCTTGCTTGTTTCAGCAAGGAGCAACAAAGTTTCATCACGTTGTAAAGAGTCCATGTTACCGCAAAAATGGACTCAACCACACGAATGCCCGGCCGTCCCGTCTTCAGTCGGCTGTTCGCTCCACCCCCCAAAAAAATCATCATAATAATGTTTTTTCTTTCAATGGTTATGACGGTTATTTTCATGTCGCTCTTCATCCATAAACGTTGGTCATTGTGCCAGCCGTATGTTGTGCATGCATGTCTGCGTGTGGTTTTCTTTAGGGTCTGTGAGTTGCGAGTTATTCTATATGTATAAATGTGTGTGTGTTTGCACAGGTATGTGCGTGCATACATACGTGGGTGCGTGCGTCCAGGAATGCGTGTGTCTGTACGAGAGAGAAAGATAGAGGTAGCAAGACAGAGTTACTGTTTGTCAGACACCGTGCTTACAACCAAGATACCTATATGTACTGTATGAACTGCAATACCCCCAGCTATGACAATACAGCTATGACTACATTTATTGCAGAAAATAAAAATACATTTCTCTCCAGGATAATTTTGTTTGTCATTGCTGGACTGTTAGCGGCTGCAGTATCATTGCCAATAAATAGCAAGGGCAAATAATTTTTATAGTAGGTGCCAATGATTGGAACTATTACACCAGTTACACATCCAAAGATTGGTGCTATTTTAAACAGCATTATTGTGTGTAGGCATCAAAGTCACCTGTTCCTTACCTACATTTTATTCATTTAGCAGATGCTCTTATCCAGAGCAATTAGGGTTAAGTGCCTTAATCAAGGGCACCTCGACAGATTTTTCACTTAGTCGGCTCGGGGACTCGAACCAACGGCGTTTCAGTTACTGGCCCAACGCTCTTAACCGCTAGGATACCTGCCGCCACCTCTATGAGTCATGGGAGGGGAGTTAATCCCCAAGTGAGTACAGTACTCAGTCTATAGTCCCTATACTCTGTGGTCATATTTGTTTGAAATCCTCTCTCCCTATATTGTTCTCTTCTCTTTTTTAATGCTGGCTTTCATGTACTCTCTCCCCTGCTTTTTCTCCCCTCCCCCCATTCCCTTATTTTCCTCTCTTTCTTTCTCTCTCTCAGGCCTGGTGATCGGGTGCTGGTCACTGATGATTCTAATGAAGAGTGGTGGAAGGTGGGCAATGAATAATCAACGTCACTGTAAATGTGTGTGTGTGTGTGTGTGTGTGTGTGTGTTTGCTTGCAGGCGCGAGTGTGTAGGCGTTAGTTAGGCGTGTGAGTATGAACTATAACACCTGCCATATTTTTGGCCTTTCCTAAACATCCAGGCAGTCAGAAATAGAAACATGATTTCCTCAGAAAATCGCTTTAAGAAGGAAACATAATGAATTTAACTAGCGTTGTGACCTGAAAGAGCTTTTTATTAAGTTGGTAATGAGCTTCAGTCACTCTCAATGTTCTGGATATAGTTGCTTTCAGTCTCTGGCAGAGAGGAGCGAGGCTCAGTAAAAACCCTTCAGTGCCTAACACTCAGCTTAGAGCACAGAACACTGGTACAGAAACACATACACAGGTCTCCATTTTATTGGACAGTTTACAGGACACTCACTTCACAACAATACTAAAACACTCAAAATCATACACATCCAGGCAAAGTAAATTAGAACATAATTGTGAACAATCAACTCCAAAGAAGTATTAGTCACCATGAATACAGAACTGTATTTATTTATTTGAGTATATGTCATATTTACTCTATGTGTCATATGTGTGACAGGGGAAGAGTGGAGACAAGGTGGGCTTCTTCCCTGCTAACTTCGTCCAGAGGGTGCGCCCAGGGGAGAGGGTGTGGAGGGTCACCCAGCCTGTCCCTGCCAGCCGAGGGATGGGCCACATGCCAGTGAAGGAGGATCAGGTGAGACATTCATTTTGTCTCATCTTTCTTCCTTTGCCCTGTAGTTGTGCCAAAACCATATATTTCTTCTCTGCTTCCACTGCTTTCCCAAACACCTCTCTCTCTCTCTCTCTCTCTCAGATCTGTGTGGGGAAGAGTGAGGACAGTGAGGGTTTCCTGAAGCTAAGCAGTGGGAAGAAGAGAGGACTGGTCCCTGCTGAATCTATTGAGGAGATCTAACCTCTGTCTCAGCACCAGCCCCCCATCTCTCTCTCTATCCAGCACCATGTAACCTCCCCACACACCCCTTTAATGCCTGAGGAGGACCAGCAAGTCCGGGGGCACACCATCGCCCCTCCAACACCTCCATCGTGAGGCCCAACACCCTACTAAACTGAGTGGGGAACAGTGACAGTTAAGCTTGTGAATTACAGGTGATGTGGAGGATGCCCCAGCCTTATACTTGCTGACCTTGTCTCCTCCACCCCAAAGTAGCTGACAACCAGGACTTGAAAGGGTTGGTTTCCCTTCCACAGTGGGTTGGCCTAGGTGTTGTGGAGGACCAGCCAAGCCCCCAATGCCCCATGTTTTCCTGCTGTAATGTACATTTGTGTATTAGTGAACTGGGTTTATCTGTAGTCCACACGACAGCGGTAACAGTTTTAGGACTGAAGGACTGGCTGCTGTGGACTCCAGTAACTGCCCTCAGGAAGGAAGGAACTTTGATACTTTTTTCTGGCTGGTGAGTCTGTTCTTTGTGTGTGATTGGACCTGTTCTTTTTCACTCCTCTATGGCTGGATATCATGAGGCTGAAGAATGCAGGATTAAGGCCGTCGCATACTATCCAGTCGAAACGTGGCGCGTCGTTACGCGCATATATTATGCTGAAAATGTGTGCCATTTTGGTGTTTGGCAGGTTTTGTTTTGTCTGGTCGCGCACAAACCATTTTATTGGGCCAAATTTGAAGTTCGGTAGCCGACGTCTACACCCTTTCGTCTGTAATTGGTCGACTGTAGTGTTTTCAAGCGAAGGTCTTTAAGGGAGTATGAGAGCTAGGAGCAAACAGAACCTAGTATTAGTATACGTTACCTTTACCTTGTTGTGTGTGTGTGTGTGGGGGGGGGGGGGGGGTAATGTTCCTGGACACTGCATGTAAGAAAACATTTGTTCTTTCTCTGATGAACTAGAACAAGTATCACACTCCTGATGACATCATCACAGATGGACACCTACTATGATTATAGTAATTCATTTAAGAGGTGACCATGAAGGAGATAATTGCGTGCTGAAGGATGTACTTGTTTGAATGCCGGTGTCAGTGAGATGTTCAAGATACTGGTGATGATTGTAGGTTTAGGTGCTTGCATTTTCTCTCATCTTTTCCTTTGGTCCACTCTCTCTCTCTCTCTCTCTCTTTCTCTCTCTCTCGCTCTCTCATCTTTCTCAGCTTTCACATTGGTCCCTCGGCTGGGATTTGACATCAGCTTAATTTAGACTGGCACATAACTTAATTGCTCTGCAAGGACGGACGGGTAGGCAGGTGACAGGGGCAGAGTACACCCTGGTCAGACCAGACAGCCAGCAGAGGACAGGACAAACTAGGTTTATTTCGACACACTCTCTCAGATCCTGACTCACTGGCTGACTCACTGACAGTTGACCTCGCACTTGGCAGGTTCCAGAAGGTCATCGATGTAAGCTCCGTCATTCTATTGTACAGGTGGCGAATCAATCGCACACTTCAGAAAGTCTGTTTTTCTATGTCCTATTTATGAAAAATACAAGTGATGAAATTAGATTGGGGCGGTGAATACTTACTTAAATACTTCAATGTTTGTTGAGCTCTCTATCAGTAGGGTTTCAATAGCCTAGACTGTAGAAAACATCTATGAATAGAGCCATTGCTAAAACATTTACAAATGGAGCAACAACAGTTTTTTTTTTAACTGCTCCAAATTTGTTTCAATTTTCTGGCCAATTTAGCAGAAGGGCACTGAGGAGCCGTGGAAGAGGTGGGAAGTGTTTTCGTGTCTTTTGGCTTGTCTGTCTGATTCACCACTGGTAAACAAACAACAGCCAAGAGCCAGTCGGCTGGAAAACCACAAGATGAACAGACCTTGTAAGTATGACAACCAGATATGGTCCCACTGGTCTGAGGGACAGGGAGCGAGGGATATGGAGAGACTTAGCCAAAAGGGGGTGACCCAGGTGTCGAACCATCACAAATCAATGTGTCAGTATGCAGATTTCTTTGTCTATGGCTGGCCAATTCACCATTGATCAAATGCCAGTCTCTCTCTCGTGCTCTCTCTCTCTCCATTCCCCTCTCTCTTTCCCTCTGTCTCTGACACTATTGGGCATTTTTGCTGCTAGTGGGAGGGGTAGCAGGGCTGCACTGTATGTAGATGTAGAGGTAGGTATGTTTTAATGATAGGATAATGGGTTGGATTTCAATGTTTCAATTATGTATTGATTATTTATTGATTTAGACCAAGTGACAGCACGTAGCTGTCACTCTGTTGGCATTAACGACCAATAACATGTCCCCTCCCTCCTGTAATATAAGAATACAGTATACAGTAAGCCATCTGTAGGGTAAAATAAATATGATGATGAACATATTGGGGGTGTTCGTAAATTCAATCTGGAGTGCCAGAGTGCGCTTAGAGTGCGCTCTGGGCGTTCGTAAATTCAGAGCGTTGTCAGATTGTCCGTTCGTAAATTCAGAGCGTTTAGTTCTCGGAGCGTTCAGAGCGCACACTGGATGCTCTGGCCGAGGAGTAGGGTTGATCCGAGCGTTCTGACCTCACAACGGCAGTCATGCACCCAAGCTAACTGGGTAACGTTGGCTAGCTTGCTAGCTACTTCCAGACACAAATGAGAGAACACCTCACTCTGACCATTTTACTCACCCTAGCAGAGCTGGTTAGGCTGTTTTCATGTTATCCAGAGCGTTGGTGACTGTAACTGTGCTGCTGGCAACAATTTAATTACGCTTTTCTGCCGACATTTACTGACACCGGCCATATTCAACAGGTGTTGAGCGTTCGTAAATTCATCAGTTATTCTGCATGCTCTGAAATTGGAGTAGATAGCCAGAGCGAATTTACGAAGGCACCCATTGTTTCATGTTTTGTTCCTCAGATGGTAATATGATCATCTTTGAGTCTATATCCTCTGTGTGTGTGTGTGTGTGGATGGATGATGTTTCACAGACTGTGATGAATATAGTTTTTTCCTTCCATTGGGTCCATGTGTTCCTATGTGTAGCAAGGCCTTCTCTGGTCCTCACAGTCCCCGACCAGGAGCTAACAAGGCCATTGTACAGTCACTTGGTATACAGCTAGATGAATTGTTTGTTAGCTTATTCCCTACCCGAATTTTCACACAAGATGTACATTTCCGGTAGGGTTCATATAGACTGAAAGTCTGTCACCCTTTGTGGACCCTGTTTGATTCGCTCTTTATGTAGCATTTCTATGTACAGGCCTGGGCCTCGTTTCCCAGTTGTGATGTAACTTAAGCATTACGATGATCGTACCAGATGCATCGTTATTTACAAACCAACTTTTTAAAGAGCTACTGCCCCTGTAATTTTGGTCATAAAGTCAGTCTCGTCCAAAACGGAGATTTGCGAGATGATAGGAAAAAATGGTATGTCACGGAATGAAGGGTACAGTAACAGTTTTCCGTAGGTTGGGTTGCCCACTGCTGGCAGCACACAAGTAATCATCTATTCAAAGCGACGCTGCACACGACCCGATCATAATGCCCATGGTCAATTTGGTTTAACATTGAATATCCCTATGGGGCAAGTTAGGGACTATCAGTAAATTACACAATATTGGGACGATATTTTAAAACGTCAATAGCTCCAAATTTCAATGACTTAACCTCAAACCAACTATAAATTGTACAAATTAATATAGAAATATTTAAAGCATTTAACCTTTTACTGCAGTGGGCTAAATCAGGGTCACAGAGTGTTTCTTGGTAGTCTTAAACAAATCTACTTTGAAACAAAAGTATACACCTCACACACATGGTTATGGGCTTACAAAAAAGGAGACACCTGTACCTTGTCAGATATGGAGTTTAAATGTATTCCAGTTTGATTTTGCATTCCAATATTGCACTTTATATACATCACAGAAGACTGAAATTTAACAAAAATGTTTGACATAGAAACACCAGAATTTCAACTGGTTTTTTGAAATAATGTTGATTTAATTATGAAAAATATTAATAACATTCCACCCATGAGGCCACTAGGTCATTTTACTGCAGGAAAGGGCTACTGAGAAAACTAAAAAATATGCAACATGGCTATCCAAAGTCAAACCATCTTTGCCCCGATCGCACACCAGCCAGCTGAAACTAATTGGCTAAATAATTTGGCTAACTATTCCCACCTGCGAACACACAAGACACCCACATCAAACCACACTCCGAAACCAACTCACGTTTGAATTCAGTCATGGCCGCTAGCATTTCTTAATGAACCAAATCTAAAACGAGGCCAAATTAGGAAGTGCAGTAGTCCTTTAAGAGTGTTTCCCAAACAAGCACGTGGAGAGGTCTAACGTTCGCATGTCGATACTAATTGGATCAAAAGAAAAGCAGTTTCTCCATTCAAAACTTACCTTAACATTAGAATTATTCCACAATCCTGACGATGGATCACCTCCTATGAGATATTACCACCTACAGTATGGCTGCAAATAGGCTATTGAGTTGTCTTATTATGCTTACCCAATAATAATGCACTAAATCACAGTGTGGGCCCATCATTGCGCACATGTTGTCACACACCATGTTACTGTACCCTTCATTCCGTGACATACCAAACACGTTGAGGCAAAAATTACAGATAGTAGCCTAGTAGCAAAATAGCACTCAATTGATTGAACATGAAATTGATTTCAATATGTTTGAAATAGCCTACATAGGCCATGTAGCCTTCAGTGAGGGAAAAAAGTATTTGATCCCCTGCTGATTTTGTACATTTGCCCACGGACAAAGAAATGATCAGTCTATAATTTTAATGGTAGGTTTATTTGAACAGTGAGAGACAGAATAACAACAACAAAATCCAGAAAAACGCATGTCAAAAATGTTATCAATTGATTTGCATTTTAATGACGGAAAATAAGTATTTGACCCCCTCTCAATCAGAAAGATTTCTGGCTCCTAGGTGTCTTTTATACAGGTAACAGCTGAGATTAGGAGCACACTCTT